AGCGTCTGGCACGGTATGCAAGAAGACGTCGGTTCGAATCCGACCGATCGAAGGAATTTTTTCTGAGTGTTCGATCTTTGTATTAATAATTATAACAAACTAGTGGAGTAATTTCACAAAAAATAATTGAATATCAATTAAAAAAACTTCATTTACATTATTATTACTAATTAATCTGTTAGGTTGATTTCATTATGATGTTTGCCTTCATGTTGCAAGGAATGTAAATACATTTTATATTATATTCGAATGTATTTTCTCAATTGAATGCAAGTGCCTGCCGCTTGTCCCGGCAAAATGTTTTTCTTTGCCGGTATAATATTACTACAAAGCATTCCGTTTACAATATTTAATATAAATTCTGCGTTTACTGTACACATATTCTGTTTGCTCCAATTCATATTTCAACGTCTCTTGACTGTTTTATCAGTACATCAAACAATAGTAGCATGAGAGCTCCTTGTGAAAGAGCTCACCCAGGGAAGTACTTGCCACCTTACTTATTTCTGCCGACAAGCGATAATGTGCGTTTTGGTTTTGAAGGGTAAGGAGACTGGTGAAATTACAGACACATGGGACTTATCGAAGAGATTTAAAGATCTGACTGGCGCTGCAACTGCTATGGACAGGCGTGTCGATTCCACCTGGCGCATGACTTGTCCCGCCACTTCGTATGATAAAGAAAAAAGTGCTTTTTAAGGTTATTTATAATATCAAGTGACGTAACGTGACGTGGTGATAAGCTACACGCTAACAGTTACAGTGCCACTCAGAGCTTTAATTCGCAAAGATTGAGGGGCTAAAGTTGACTAGTCTCATGTGCCTGAAATTTCACCATTACGAAATGTAATATTTTTGTAATTGCAAGAGCAAAACGTGACGGTTATTCTTACTTCGCAGTGTTTAATATCCTTTCTTTACACACTTTGATTACGCAAATCTTAGTTATTGGCTGAAAAGCGTTAAGTTTTTTAACAAATATGCATACTCATGGACGTGGAAATACTGGCCACAGGCCACATAAAAATTTTATAACGATTAATCGAATTCAAAAAAGATCAAAGTAGTCCTTTTTTAAAATATATAGAAGTAGATAATATTCAACTTTATGACTTTATATTATTATTATATTTATTTATATATATATTGAGCTACAACTTCATTCAACTTTATTTAAGTCCATGAGTGTATGTTCTTCATTACTGACAAATGACAGGCGTTTTTTAAACATTACGGTATTTAAAAAAAATACAATAGGAATATAAAGAAAGGGTATGTCAAAATGACCGAAATGGAAAATTGTACCGTCCTTTTCTAATAAGGAGAGAGCGGAAAGGACAGCAACACCATCAGTCTGGTTTTGTGTTATTGTTATAATAAACAAGCGATAGTCAGGTTTGAAACATTTAAAAATTTGTTGAGATTAACGTCATTACAAAAGCAATCAAAATTGTATTCGCATTTTAAAATTAAAATATAGTAAAGGGTGGCAACATTTTTACACCAATTAAAAATGATTTTTTGTTTGTATTTATGTTTCCCACTGAAAAACTTTGTATCCGGGTAAATAAATAAAAAAAAATCAAATATGACTCGTTGATCTCAGAGGAATGTGCTTTCCGAAAGAGCGGTAGTCAAAAAGGTAACAAATTCAAGGAGGCCTTGGCCAGTGGAACAATGGGACAAAACATGGCTACTACGAGAAGTAATCAAGCGTAATTGTGCTAGCCTACAAACATATTGAGTTCTAGCTTCAGTTTAAAGGCAATGAGTGCTATTTCTTTGATAATAATGGAATGTTACTGCAAAATATTCTCATTGAGAAGGCAATAATGAGAAGTTTCCAGTTGCTGTGTACACAGGAAACGCAGCAGTTTGTTTACGCCAGCGACAGCGAATTCCACCTACCCTTTGATCGGCTCCGATCAACTAATTATAGCCCATCTGATCACAGTCAACTCCAGTCTGGACAACACAACTAGAACTAACCAGGTATTTAGACCAGTTTTACGGGAAAATCCAGCAAAGAGCTCACAGATGGGCGATCATGAGTTTATTATTGAGCTTACTCAGTGGCTCCGTGGAACGTTTAAACACTGCAAATCACTGTGTATGAGCAAAAAAACGCGTTGTACTCGTATTGACGTTTCGAGCCGTGGAGCGTCCGCCAGACGCGCGGTGTCCATGTCGCCGCTATTCAAGGAACTCGAATACTATCATTTCGCACTCCCGTCGTCGCAGGTTTGAGGATCAGGTCGATAACACAAAGCACTTACGAATGCACTATACGGGTGGCATGTACGGATTGGACTTTATGAAAGCAAAAGACGCGTTGTAGTGATCGGTAATGACGGTGTTTTCACACAAAACTTGAAGGTTAGGAGTCGGGGACGAGGCTCGTCGCTCACCTGAGCCGAACGGGCGGCGGGATGTTGAAAGCCGGGAACAGTTTCGCGTTGGGACTCTCGAACAGCATCGCGATTGTGTTTTCACCGCACGCGCATCGTGTAACCGTCCACGCGGTGTAGCGGCCGGCCGAGCACTAGCGCTGGTGCCGCGAGTGCCGCGCGCCGCCCCCTCCCCGCCCGCGCTCGCAACCCTCGCCGCAGCCCCGTGACGTCACCGCGCTAGTTCCGTCCTGTCAACCCGGCTCGCCCTCTCTATCGCACATTATAACAACTGCAAGGGACAGCAACAACGAAGGCAGCGACACTCGACTACGCCAGTTCAGCCCCCTTTGTATTGTGCAGACCGACAAAGTTATGTTCCGTAGCGACAAACATAGGAACTAAAAGGTGTTTGAATAATTTTCACCCCTCTCTTCGACCCGGTTCCTCGTCCCTCGTCTGTACAAACGCTACAACTCACTTTCGAGGATAATTTTGTCGTGTCGTAGGGCTTCGGTCGCGGTCCGGTTAAACCAGAGCGTTAAGCGCCTTGTGCGGCGAGAAGAATAAATAGGGAATAAAATACATTTTGCCACACTAGATTTATCGAAGTATTCTACCTCGCCTTTGTCTACGTGTACTTAAATTATTAAAAACAATGTTGATTGTAGAATTTTGTATAAAAACTTTGAAAATGAGTACCATATCGTCTAGGATAGTGCAATTACGCGTAACTAGTACTTATTTCATTATGTACCATTTGACTATAAGTTTCCATTTTGGTAATTTAGTCGCCAAATCAAGTCCGCGTAACTGTAGCGGCAACCAAATTAGCGTGATTTACGGGAATCTATTGTTATCAGTCCGTAGACAACATAGATTAATGCGTACTGTGCTAAAATCAAAGTTGTAACCATGGAAATAACAAAGTAATATTAACGTTAAATCTCTCTCCTGTCAAATTTGGTTTGGTGTAGATACACGTTTTTTACCAAAACTGCATATACGCGGATATATCTCATTCAGATATTGATGATAAAATTTAATTTTCAAATTGAAAAAAGAATGATTCTTAAATGTTAAACAGATAAAGAAATCCAATTTATTTCTCTAAGCATTCGTTTCTTTTTTTATTAAACAATCAGTCATTGTGTGCGAGTGCACAACTCGTACGACATAAAATATTTTATTCATTGAACAGCAGAGGAAGGCAACCTGCGAATCATAAAAACCAACGTAGATGTTTTGGTAGCGGTTGATACTGTGTCGCTCGAACATTCGTAGGTACCTACGTGGTTCTATTGCACTTGTTCACCACACGACGTAATTTAGAGAGAGTTTATATCCAATGACAAGCAAGAAGCTAGGGATTGCAATCGACAAAACATTCTAGCGACTATCGACTAAATGTTGGTTAGGGTTATGCAATAAATCTAACTGCTGGGCGCAGGTTCATTTCAATTGTATTTTTTTGTAAAATCACACATATTTCAAATGCATTTAGAAGTATGTACACTTAGAATAATAACCCATAGAAACCTAGTCCACACACGCTAAGTGAGGCAAATTGAAGCGCTCCCAATGGGCCTACACGAGCGAGCGGGCCGTCAGTGCTCAAGGCCAACTTGCACCGCGAACAGCTCGAGAATTTTAGCTAAAAATGACGAAATGTGCGGTAAATGAGTGTAAAAATACGTCAGACAAACATAAAATAGATACTAACATCACATTCCACAAGGAAGTAACGCGTTTCAACTTGTATTTTTATATAAATATTCACTAAAACCGAAAATTAACCTACTACTAAAACTAGCCTACATGAATTTGATTTTTGCCTCACTTGTGACAGTTCGTTTGATATGAAACTATTATTCTATGCGTTATTATTCTAAGTATGTACATTAAAAATACAAAGAGGAGACATATTTTACAGCTTTTCATTTTCATTCAATATAAGTAATCAAATTCGCTTGTTCTTGTTACAATGTATATGAATATGATTTCGATACTAATAGGTCCTAGCTGTCAAAATAACAATGAAGAAGTCAAGAGCAGATTAGTAATCATTGGAACATCGTAACATTGGTAATTCAGACATTTTTGTAAACTACCATCTTTCAAACTGTCGATAACAACTCATGTCTCATGATTTGTCACGTACTAATAAAATTTTTATGAAAACTGGCAACACTGCAAATGTAATTTTACTCCAGATTCGCTCTGGACCGTTTGGAGGGAAAAGCATCGTTTTTATTTTGACTTTCAATTATTTTGTGAAATCTAGTTTAAAGTGGAATAGGATAGTGCTATTGTGCCTTAATCGAAGATTAAAAGCGAAATTATACGAATCTCGAACTAAAATACCCGCATCGGCCCGTTTTAAGGAATCCCGAGTCAATCCAAACACGCCGCTTCAAATTGCCTATCCTCTTTGTGGCGGCCATAGTTACAGAAACATAATTAAACTTCATGCTTAGGTTGATGGCTTTGCCAAAGCCTTAATAAATAAAAAAAAAATTTTACTCCATCTTCAAAAAAGACAGGCTATAATAGTTAGTCTTCTTCGCTTCGATGCTTTTTTAAATTCATTACTTGTTACAATGTTACAAACAACGTCGATCACATTTTCATTATTTTTCATAATAATGATTTTTAAAATAAACATCAACTGGCGGCAAGCGACACTTTCCTGCCTATAATAGTTGCTGTGTCACTTTCAGAGCTTTAATTCGCAAACATCTGAGGGGCGCTACCAAAGTTGACAAGTCCCATGTGTAACGCTCACATGAATGCTTGACGGCAAATATAGGAATGAATGTATAATACATACAAAATAAATTACTTGAGAAAAACAAATAATAATTAAGGTTTTTAGTTTAGGTTTTGAATCAATTACAATTCCGTTATTTCACTTTGTTACGATCGTAATGCGACGAATTTAGCAAACGACCAATAGAAAATTTCATTGCACAATATTATTTGCACATTTCGGACAAGGCTGACTCACAGGCTCATGGGTTCATGTCCTGACACTAGCACCTGCAAATCGTTGCTTATTTTTAACTTTTGTTTTTCACCGACTTAAAAAAAGGAGGCGGTACTCAATTCGATTGTATTTTTTTTCTTGCATATGTTACGCAATCTGTGAACCGATTTTCATGATTCTTTTTTTTGTCGGAAAGAGGGTATCTCAGCATTGGTCCCATTTAAATTTGAAGAAATTATTCCACCTCTAAGGGTGACAAATTGGGGGATGAATGACTTTTGGGTCGGTTTTTTTAGTACTCTGTACTGAGATTATATAATATATTATATTCGAACCAACGTTTTGCAGCAAACGGTATGCCAACTAAGCCACGGAACGAACTAGCGAACCTTATGAATTTTTCTATGTGCGTTTAATTCCCAGCAGTTTCATGTACTCCGTCTCATGTGGAACAATGGTGACTTTAACATGTCCATAATCATTCCCATTAGTTCCACGTAATTTTAAACTTTTTAAATTGAAAAGTCATATTATAACATTATAAACTACGTGTTAGATAAAGATGTATGGAAAGACAACGTGAGTCTAGATTCCACACAAGTATGATTCAAAATTTATTCTATAGCATTTAAGTTTATTTGAAAAGAGCAATCCCTAGAGTTTGTTGATCGTTCTTCTCAGTGAGGTCCGCGTAGTGAACGAGCAGTAGCTTAAAAATGACGTTTTCAAGTGTAAAAATTTTATCTATTGAATAAATCATTATTCGACTTCGACTTTGACTTTGAAGCTATTTTTACACCTGACTTTTCTTCTTAATCAGATGATTAGAAGATGGGGTTACCCATTTCCAGCATGGACAAATATTTGAAAGAGTCTGTAAATGCAGAACATGTAATAACAAAACACAGTTTTATTTTTACTTCTTTATTCATATGAAAATATTATCGACTCCCGTGCAGAATTTGAAACCTAGATATTGTTGCAGACCTTTGTTTTTGGTTTTTAAGTACTTTTTTGCCGTAGCGGTCTATCTGTGAGAAATCTATTTCTTCACATAGAAGAATTTTTTTAGTGCTCAATCTTGTGTTAATAATTATAAGAATCTAGTGGAGTAATTTCACAAAAATAATTGACCATCATGGTGGCCAAACATCGTGACAATCAATAAAAGCTAGGAAACGAAAACTATTATTTATTATTCTTAATCGCGTATATTTGTTTTTTCAAACAAACCGACGTTTTGGGCCCTTTAGATGCCCCTTGGTCACGGTTGAATTGATGGGACCTGTAAAGGGCCCGAAACGTTGGTTTGTTTGAAAAAACAAATATACGCCATTTAAATCCGGCAAAATAGTTTCATTTCCTATGTGTAACAGTCGCGAAAACATAAGAACTCGATACAATAAAAACTAATTTGTTTTTATTGTTTTCAGATGGTAGACGTTCAAGTTGGGTCCTATTTTTGTTACTTATTAATTTGTACTGTTACTTAATTATTCTGATGTTTACATCCGTGTACAAGGCGAGCGGAGTCGCGAACACTTGCTAGCTATAACAACAGTTTTCAGTTGCGGTTTCTTTTGCGAATTTTCCCTAAATTCAAATTCAATCAGGTATTACACAATCGCACGATTTCTTTTGCAATAGTCAATTTGTCAACGGTCAAGCGACAGGCGCAGGCGCCGATCCGCTTTCGCCGAAATCGACAATCGGCCAAAAAACACGAATCGGACGATTGAACAACGACTACCTTTACAACACGGTCGGTGTGAAATAGTTTTAGTGGCCTGTGTACCATAGTGGCAGCTTTGCCACCTTAGCGACTTTGTCAGTAGATTATACGACATTTTAACAATTTCTATTTAGCGACAAAAAGTAATTGCGGTTTTTTGGTGCCCTTTCATGAAGTTTTTTTCTTTGTAACATTTGGTTACAGAATCTCTCCTTTTGTCCGGTATCAACAGTCAACTGGTAATTTGTCCCTCAAAAAAAAAAGAAACCTTCGTGAAATGACTTACGTCTCCCAATAAACTATCAATCTGATGTACTAGTAGGTTCCCAAACATTTTTGCTCGCCGCAAATCACAAGTGAAACAATTATATATTACCTATGTAGTTTAGTTTATATAGTTAATACAGGTTCTTTTCAAATGCCGTGTGCACTCCCTGGATATTATGTAGGATATTCCGGGGCTCCTACCGCCTCCTCAGTACTCTAGTAAAGGCGGTTGGGACCACTTTGAGAAAGTATGTTCTATTACATGAAAGCCCAACTAAATAACACTAGTCAAAGATGATCGTAATGTAGACGTAGTCTAGCGATAAAGTGTTAGTCAACCAAAACAAGGACCGTTTTGGTTTATATTAAAACCGTGACCGAAATTTGACAAACCTTAAACTTACCGTTACCGTTGGAGCTATGACCTGGTGAAGGTCGCGGAGAGAGACCATTGTCGGGTGCAATCGCGTCCGCGTCTCTCATTCCCGCTTGACGGTGGTCGATTTTTTCTTGAAATCGCCATTTAGTCAGATCTATTCTTAAAAAACTAGATTCAGCCGATCCGCCGTTCATAAGTTATTATGTTTTAGAACAGTAAAACTTTTACTGTCCATCCTGGAGCATGAGCTCTGTCATCAGGGAGGAGAGATGGTACTTGAATTTAGATTCAACGGCTTAGCGGGGGTCAACCGTTAGTTGTGTTATGTACAATGGGAAGTGAGCGTGCCAACCGCTCCGATACCTTTCTGGAAAATAAACCCGAGGCTAGCCTTTTGAAAACCGGGTGAAGTCCGTAACAACGGTCTGTGACAACCCTGTCCACGGCCTGACTTGGGATCCCTGAGCTAGCACAGACTGCAGTGCCCTTACCGCATAACCCAGAGGTGGATAGGGAGGGATACTATAATAAAAACTTAAGCTGAAACATATGGTACTGTTCTGGAATAAGCTTATTCCGGGCGGCACCATTTTTCAACCTCGACAACCACAGCTCCTAGCTTAGATCCGATTGCATCCAGAAAAAGTCGTAAATTAGTCAATTGCTGTTGTAAAATTTGCTGTTGGTTCTGGAGATCAGGGAATAGTGCCGCTGGCAGCGTGGGCAGTACAACACTGAATATGACTCTCAAAATCCGCCAGTTCATTTCCATTCTCTGTGTTGCTATGTATTACTACTTATCATATACATTGCAACTTTTTTATTTTAAAAAATTGACCTCAAAAGTTTGTGGAATTACATCTCTTTGCCAAATTTCATTGAAATCGGTTAACTGAAAGGGAGTGCCATTCAATAAATTAGATTCATCTCCTAATTTACCACGCTTAGAGTAATAAGTATTCTTTAAATTTCAATGGGACCACTACTGGGGTACCCCCTTTCCAACAAAAAAGCCGGTCGGTATAAGACAAATTCTCGACTCCACAGACTCGTGATATTCGCTATTCGACCGACTCGGGAATAGGGCAGATTCTTGAATTCGACAGATTAGCTATACGGTAGAAAAACTACACTCTGTGCACAAAAGTCAGAATTTTACAACATAGGACACTTGAAAACTATCCATTTAGGAGACGCCGCCAAAGCCCTCCAGGCCACGTACAATTAGGCAGTACCATTGTTGGTACAATTGAATCATCAAAATTAGTTCACACATACCTAAATAACGTTTTTTTGTGTGTATGTTACACACAGAAAAACACAGTCGAATGGAGAACCTCCGCCTTTTTATGACGCCGGTTAAAAAAAAAACACATTTTGTACTGTTACGCTACGTACGAATGTAAACATATTTGAGGCCAAGATTTTTTACAGTGACATCCATAGATTTAGTAGTGACATCGGCCTTAGAGCAAAATGCCATAATATATTTCACGCCTTCAGAGGGATTATGAAATAATAAAACAATATAACGTATTATTTTTAATTCCATATATCACTATATATAGTAATTATTAATTTACAAGAGCATTGAAAACAAACACCGTCGTATATTAAAGTTTACACATTGTCGAAAATTTGCTCGACCACGAGGAACAGAAAGAGTATAAAAGTTTCAATTATAATGCGTTGGCCAAAAAGTCCGTGCGGTTTTTGCCACTAGCTAATTTTGAACTAAAAAATAACAATTTTTCTTTTAAAATGTTATATTGTCTATTGGTCATTTTAAAAATAATAGTTCAGCGCGCATTTTAAAATAGGCGGGAAGTTTGTATTTCATGATAATCGTAAATGTTTTTGATCATGATAACGCCAACAACACTACAAATATAAAAAGCCGTTAGAAACTATTGCAATTAGATTGGGGTGTGTTAGTCTTATCCACTATATTCGCCCGATACAAGTTCAGGTTTTCTCTTGTTTCGATATTTATTTGAAAGGACGTGAATTTGCTAACGAAGAGATAATCAAACGACACTTTAAGCTGTATTTTATAAGTAAAGAACGGATTTTTTTAATTAAAAGTGGATTATTATTATAGGTCAACATAGGCCATGTTGATCTATAATATATTATTATTATATATTTGGAATAAGAGGAACAAAAATAAAATCTTATTAGAATTTTGTAGTACATTAAAGTAGCCTTTGTTTATCAACGTTTCATGTTTTAACAATCTTTACGCTAAATTCAAAACTCATGATGCATTTGTCGAAAGCTTGCAAATTGCGTCGTGTTTTTCATAAACATAGTGTCTTAGACTATTTTCCATCCTCTAAGCAGTGTTCTCAACATTTCGCAACTGTCAAATTTGTTTTTTCCGCCATTTGGATTTGGAGCATCGTAGCGACATCTCTTTACAATCGTTCAAACTAATTTGCTTGTCTGTTTTATCGATTGAGAGACTATAGTGATAAAACTCTTTTATATTAGAAGTTAAGGCTTCATTAAAGTCCCTCTTCACCGCCTAACCTTTCTTGATAAAAAATTTTTTTTTTAATAATCTTCATTTGTATTTTGAAATCGCACGGCCTTTTTGACCAAGCTAACAGTTAACACGCTAATACTTAGTCGTGTTAGGTACACAAGCCGTAGGCGGGGATATTGCGTCAGTAAGTTCAATCTACTGACTGAAATATCGCTCCCTATGTACTTGTTACCTGCGGGTAACATCGCAAGCGGACTATATGTAGTGGACACACAGTTAGTAGTCATGCATATGACCGCTATGTTACCGTTAACGTGATTAATTAGAAGCGAGGAATGTTATTTTGTTTACAAAGAGAAAATATTAAAGAAACAATCTTCTGATCAGTCACCATTGCAGATATTAGTCGTAATTATGACCTCTACAGACTAGAATACAAACAATTATAAAATGAGAAAGGTATTAACCCTTGTTTTGCTTAGCAGTCAATTTCAAGATGTAATTGGTGGAGTCTCAAAACTGGTTATAAACTGTAGAACTACGAACCCTAATTAATAGAAGTGTCGCAATAAGATAAATAAAATTTACGGGAAGCTGACTAAATAAATTAAATACAAAATAACGTACGAAATAAAACTAATACAGCGTTTCTGACATATTGTATTACTTTCAAATTTTTTTCAATGCTTGCTGTTTGGCGATCTTGCGATCTCAGGCTACAGACATGAATAACCAATGGTAGGCAATACATATTTTAGAGTCTATGTTATGTGTTGCACTTTTAGGAGTCTGTACTGATTTACGTTCCGTTACACGCATAATAATTAACATTATGACATATTTTGTCAGTTTCCCAAAAACTGGAATTACGTCACTTTATTATTGAAATTAAATTGCGAAAAAACACGGTTGTAATTTTAAAAAAAGAACACCAATAGTTGCTAATGTTTCAAAATACAAACGAACTTACAGTTAAGTCAGATCGTGGAAATTCGGAAACCACGAACATATCCGAACGCTGTTGCCGCTAACTGATGTATATTTAAGATAAGAATAAACTTGGTTTTTTATTAACTTTGTCAATGACTTTATCGTTAGATTAACAAAAAGTTTCTTTTTATTTATTGGCGGTGCTCATTTTAGGATTTCGGCAGAGTCAAATTTGTAAAAATAATATATAAAAAATATAGAGGACATCGCCAATATATATAATATATTTTTCAGTAATGAAGTTACCAATGCTGCAACAACGTTCGGAAATATTCGTAATTTCCGAGTGTTTCCGATGTCAACTGTTATATGTACACTCGATGCCCTAAGATAAAAGGCTAATACTCGACCAAATCAAAAAACACATGATGCGAATAAAGCTTCATACTTGACATTGTTTTTTAATTATATCGAGTTATTACCTATTAGACAGAAATTGTTTCGGACGGGTGTTGGACGAAGAACGGGAGTAGATCACTGTGAATAAAGGTGTTTAACAAACTTAACCTTTAACTTATGAGATGTAAAATTCACTTTGGTATGTTTTCCTTATATCATCACTAGTGAATGACGTTTTAAGAAACTTTTCAAACCAATTTCATCTTTAATTACATTAGACAAATACAAATTTTGACCAAACAGCTGGAATTCTTTTACACTTTACTGTTGAATGTGTAAGAAGGCCGTCAAAATGGTCGGTTCGGAAGTCACACGTATCTTAGAGCATCAACTGTACGTATAAAAACAAACTTTCGGACTCCTATGACTTTTGGCAGTACTTAAAAGCAAATGGTTGTTTGCATTCCGCAAGATGGAAAATGTTTATTTCCCGCAGCCGCCGCCTGCGCAGGCGGAACGCTTGGGCGGGCGATACGTCGACGTCGACGCGCCGCCACTCAAGGGCATGTAGTCTGCGGACAAACAGATTCGTATTGGACGACAGTGTTTCACAAATTATAAACAATAATAACTTTGATTTGTTATCATTATTAATAAAAAGATGGAACACAAAGTAATTATTCTAACTTTTTTTTAAAAAAAATCGACATCAAAAATTCGTGGAATAGATGTACTATTTGCCAAGTTTATATCGATTACCGGAAAGTACGCGAAATGTCGGATTCATCCCCTAGTTTGCCACCCTTAGAGGTGGAATATTTTCTTCAAATTTAAATGGGACCACTACTAAGGTACATTCTTTCCAACAGAAAATGAATCATCAAAATCGGTTCACAAATGGGGATTCACAATCGCGTAACTTACACACACACAAAAAAAGAAAAAATACTGTCGATTTGACAACCTTCTCCTTTTTTGAAATCGGCTGAAATTCCGCGATTTAGTTAGATCCGAATAGTTTCATTTCCTAAGTTTGAGGCGAAGTTGTCTTATTATTTTACTGTATTTGTTACCGACTTCAAAAAAAGAGGAGATTCTCAAATCGGCTGCATTTTTTTATTCCGGCATTTGTGAACCGATTTCGATGATTCTTTCTGTGTTGGAAAAAGGGTACCTCAGTAGTAGTCCCATATAAATTTGAAGAAAATATTCCACCTCTCAGGATGGCAAACTACGATTTCAATCAAACTGGGCAAATAGATGTAATTCCGCGAACTTTTAAGGTCGGTTTTTGTGATAAAAAAGTTATCTTGCGTAGTCCGTGGCCACTAACCGGCGTCGTCGGGCGTGCCGAGGCGGCGTCCGGCCGCTCCGTACTTCTCGATCCGCGCGATCGCCTCTCGCCGCTTCGCCTCCTCGCGCTTTAACCAACATCACACATTACTCTTAGCTTGTACGACTCTAAAAGGTACCACAACTCTTCACAAGTCGCTTATCTGCAACTTCTGCAACAATGAGAAGTTTTCGATTCAACGACAGTTCTCTACTTGTTCGGTAGATGGCGCTCGGATTAAAATATAGATTTTTTAATACTCCTAAAAAGTAGCTCTTCGTTTTGTAGATGAAAATATTTGCAGGTAAAGATTTTGACTAGATACAAATGGAGCTGAAATTGTAACTCTGCTCGATAGTATAGTATATTGTGTATTAAGGACGACGGTAAATAAGACATTACTAACTGAACATAGGGTGTATTAGACGCCCGAAGCCGGAGGCTAAGGGCTTTCATAACTCGAGTTTTGTATTTTTTTTACCATTCGTGATACATACAATGTTTTTCATCACATTTGCGAGGAAATAAATACAACGTTTATTTCTTGTATGAATAAATCTGCAGGCTTAGCATGAGCCCGAAAACAAAATTTGTCTCTTCTTCGATGACAGTTCCAAGAAGAGATAACTGTTGTCTTCGAGAGAAAATTGACATTCCGAAGAAGAGATAACTTTTGTCTTCGGGCTCATGCTAAACCTGCTTGTTCCCAACACTACAATCATGGATGACGGTTTTTTTTAATCTATTCTTCCATAGATAATACAACTCGAACTAAAATGTTGTAAAAAACAAAGACACATATAGGGTCGTATTCCAGAACTGTACTCAATGCTCAAGTCAGGATTTGAGCAGACTTGAGTATGATTTCAAGCACTGGAAATACGACCCTAATGGCAAGGACTTGAGTATGATTTTCAGTGCTCACTGCAATACTCAAGTCCTGACTTGAGTATTGAGTAGAGTTCTGGAATACGACCCTAAGCCATGATGGATTGTAAAAAAAAATAAACAAAATTTTTATACAGAAAATAATTAAAATCAATTATAAACACCAACCCCAACTCCGCTCTCCGTGTCATAGGGGACAGGGATGACTGCCCCTATATTAGGCATTGCTGCGGGTTACATGCTCCCAAGCATGTAATCAGATTTTAATTTAAGTTCAATTTTAATTTTAATTTTATTTCAATATTAATTTTATTTCAATTTTAATTTATTTTCAATTTTAATTTAACTTCAATTTTCATTTAAATTCAATTTTAATTTCATTTTAATTTAAATTCAATTTTAATTTTTAATTTTTAATTTTAAGTTTTACTAACTTTAGATTAAGTTCACATGTATGTACTAACAAGTGAGTCTATTGTTACTCGAAATAAAAAGTTATTATTATTATTATTATTATTTATAAAACATTCTTATTAATAAGTATTTATGTAGTACTTGGCTGAATTGCAATGAAATTTGTAAATGTTTTCATTTTGAATGGTTACTTAAATTCATTCCTTGCTTGAACGTGAACCTGACCTATGTAAGGAAGCATGTCGTTCTACAAATAAAAAAAGCCTCACCGACCTGGGAAGAAAAAACTCGAGGGTCTTAATTAAGGCATTAGAGTCAAGTGAACCACCATGCAACCACGCTATTTACGAGCAAGAGTAATAAAATCTATATTATTTTGCCATAAGCGTACTTTCGTCTCCATGTTTTTAACTTACAGAAGTCCCTGGCGATGCTCATTCAATCTTGGGAATGACACGCCGCTTAATCATATTTGTATTGCAAAAACGAGCGATTCGTTCTGTGTACGGTCTAGGCTCTCGAGTTTCTCTCAGGGAGAAGTTTAAGGAGACTGGTATCATGACTGTGGCATCACAGTACATTTACTCAAAATATTTAAGTCTGCCCGTAAAAATATACATTATTTCAGAAAGAAACAAGATATCCATAATATTAACCTTAAAGATAAGTTTTGCATTCATAGTACCACGATTTCGTTTAACCAAGTTAAACGACTCTTTTATGAGGAACTGTATACATTTTTACAATAAGATTCCGGAGCATATATTAAGATTATCATTTCCTAAGCTTAAAAACTACATTAAAAATATTTTAATTGAAAAGTCTTATTACAAAATTGAAGACTACGTGTTAGATAAATATGTATGGAAGACGACATGGCTCTACATGCCACACAAATTTGATTCAAAGTATATTCCATAGCATTTAAGTTTATTTGAAAAGAGCAATCCCTAAAGTTTCTTGCTCGTTCTTCTTAGTGAGGTCAGCGTAGTGAACGAGCAGTAGCTTAAATGTGACGTTTTCAAGTGTAAATTTATTTTACCTATGGAATAAATGATTCTTTGACTGACTTTACCGCTATTGCTAAACTCACCCCTGCCGTCGAACGAACGCTTGGAAAGAGTTAAATGTTTTATACATTTAACTCTTGTTTTATACATTCAACTAAGTACTGGTACAAACACTGAAGTAACTAGGACGTTGAAATTACATTATCATACGCCAAACACGAGAAACATTCCGAAAATAGTAACCATGCCATCTAGCGAACACTTAACATAACAAATCCATAAGAAAACTTCTCATTTACTTCTTGCAATGTGCGAAAAAAGAGAAAAGTTCTTTGTCTTTCATATATAACTTATATATAAACCTTATTATTTAACTGTCTGGCCGAACGGTTACCATGCCGGACTGCCACGCAGAAGTAACTGGTTCGATTCCCTGGGCGGTAGAAAAATTTGTATGGCCTACATTTATTTCTCTCGTGAGTTTGGGTGCAATTTGTGGTTGTCTATATGTATGTCTATGGTACCAGCGACTCAGGGTTTCCCTAGTGCGGGGCTATGTTGAGTGTGGGCGTAATTTAAAAAAATCCCTCTTAACCTTAAGGTGAGTCGGGTAAGATCGAGATCTTCAAGAATTGTCTTAAATTTAAATTCCCCCTAATTCACTTACATATTTTAACGTTATGACAAACGTTTGTCAAAACGAAGGTCCGTCTATTTCTCAGCCCATAAATACTAATATACATAATAGTGAAAATAATTCTTGGGTCCGTACCTGCTTCTGGGCTTCTTTGGCTCTTTCAGAGGCCGATTCGAGCGTTTCTTGTTGCCGCATGCGCGCGCGCTGTATCGCCTCTAGCCGCGACAATACTGTGTCGGGGTCTACGACAAAAGTAACGACGTCAAATCATTATCATATTTAGTCCCTTTTAATTGACATAACTTTACTGCAGTTAATTTGTCAGATTGAGTACCAGGTCGTAAGCAATCGGGAAAACTCGGAAACCACGAATATTTCCGAATGCTGTTACGGCGTCTACAAATTATTGTGTTATTAATGTACGACAATTAAGTACGAACCTTTAATCTAGTGTTTAAGTCATTGACAGCGTAAATAAAGTTTTATTTATATATCACAAATGAAAAGGGTTTAAAACAGTTGACTTATTGGCTTTGTCGTTAGATTAAGCGATATTTTGACAACAAAAGCAGCACTTATTTCAATTTAGCTACAAAAAAATTCAACGGCTTATTGGTGGCAACCGTTAGTTGTGCGATGCGCAACGGGAACTGAGCGTGCCAACAACTCCAGTATCTTTCTGGAAAATAGGTAAGGTACTGTACGTGCACCTGGGATTGCTCAGCACAGGCACTATCATTTTGAACACTCGATGAAATCCGTGACAACCCTGTCCATTGGCTGATCTGGGGTCAGGACCTGAACATACAAGATCCCGTTGCGGGCTGGCTTGCGCAGGTTATAGCACTATAACTTCCCGTATAACCAAGACGTTCGTATGGAGGAGCATTATAATCAAAAGTAAAGTAGGATTACATACTCCTGGACACATAATGCGAGCCACCTCGCATTTTTGTCGTAAAGGGCTAGAATACACAAATAGTGTTATCGTCAAAGAAAGTCTTCTAGTCTCAAAATTGCATAATAGTTTTTATGGAAAATTTGGCACTTAATAGTGAAAATGCGTAGTGGCTCGAATTGTGTCCAGAAGTGCATGTGCCTGACCGTTTTTTAAGACTATTTTTTTATAATACCAAGTGTAGAGATGTACAAGTTGCAGTGGCACTCGGAGTTTTGAATAAAAAAGACATGGCTGTAGTTTCACCTGGACAACTACCCTTAAAGACCCGACACAAATAGCTATGTTACTATCCAACTTTGTCAACAGAACCTTTGTGATATGCAGCGTCCTCCTGGGCTTCCTTCCAGCGGTAGTAGCGTGGTTTCATCTTGTGCAAGATGAACAACAGTAAACCCGTTGTGGCAAGTATCATCCATCCATATGATGCCAAGAAGTGCAGTACTGAAAAATATACATTTACTACTATAACAATATACTTTCCTGTTATCCTGATGGAGTGCGAATGAAATGATTCTCTTACATTTGATGTAGCTGCGATGTGTATCCAATTTAGACAAGTTGGTGGATGCAACAGCGTCTTGGCCTTTCGTCTATCAAGGGAAGCCAAGACGCTACATAGATTGGCAGAGAGAGGCTTGAAGTTAAGGCAACTATAACCTGCTTCAATTCTCTCTACTTTATTATAAAATTATATGTAAAGAGCGGCGTAGTGGCATTTTGTGACAAAGCTCTTTAAGTAAAGAAAAAAAATTTGACATTATCAATTAATGACACGACACATACTAAAATACAAGCCAATTTTAATTTTTTAAATAACCAGTGGTAACACGCAGCTGAACCAAAGTGCCAGTTATTTCTAAAGTTATCGATAGCCAGTTCCAATCCATTTTAGACGAAAAGTAAACAAACTGGTTTGATTACAATTCTAAAGCAATCACTCAATAAATCGACAAGTATCCACCTTGTGGCAGGTTTCTCTTGCTTGCTGAGGGACGATATACCTAATCTAATTAAGGTTACGCTCGTGTCATTGGTTGAATAACAATTATTGATTGAATAAATTATTTATTGCCCAGTTCTCCGAAAAAAGCACAAAAGCCTGTTTCTTACTTTGGTAACTAAACAAAACAATGTTTAGGAGTACGTACCAAAAGTTAGAGGCTCCATGATAGCGCGAGTAGCCGAAGAATCTTCTTCCGCGATTATTTCCTCAATATCTTCCATTCGCAGCGGAATAACGTTTAATTAATACAAAAACCACACAATAAACGATAACAAGCTTCCGTTTGCGAAATCGTCAGCCCACTCTCGACTGGACGGATATTGGCGCTTTAAATACAAACGCAGACCATAATTCACGATATTGGATTGCAAACAAATTACTTTTACGTTTTAATTTCCCGTCTTCTTATTTTCTAGAATTTTGTTGTGAATTTCTCGACTGACGTGTTCTAATGTAAATGCGCTTGTTTTGTTCGAAATTTGTGCACATCAAAACTTTAATAAATTACACTACCATAAATTCTCAATGTTTTCCCATTCTTTATTATTTTTCAGCTGGTGGTGCAATTTGTCTATTGAGGAATAGAACTGTATTAAACTGACACCTGTCAGAAGTTTTTTTTAAATTTATCGGTTATGGCAACAAGGAGTTCAAACTAAACTAGTTTATGAATAAATGATAAAAAATTACTTATGGAAAGATTTAATAAGAAAAAAGTGCTTCTAAGCCAAATAACATAACTTTGTAACTTAACTAATGTCAGAAGTATATTTTGGATACATACGAACAAGGAAAAAAACATGAAGAGGCGGAAAATGAAAGGTTTTTATAGTTACAGTTTTTACACAAATTATTTTTTATTGTAATAATACATTTTTTATGTTTCTTAATTATTTGTTACCTGTTTAAGCTATTGCATCCATAGCCAATGCTCAATAAGCACTCATTAAACAAAGAAATAAATAACTTGAAGACGTAGCAGAAGAGTATAGTAGAACCTGTGCCTACCCAAATATTAAGGATGTAAACAATAATATTTATACCTGTAATTATAACATTTTTTATAAACAAAAGTTCGTGAAATTACATCTATTTGCCAAGTTTTATACAGGAAAGTGCGCGAAACCGTATTCATCCCCTAATTTGCCACCCTTAGTGGTCGGACGTTTTCTTCAAATTAAATGGGGCCAATATTGATGTACCCTCTTTTCACGATTTAAAGAATCATTTAAATCGGTTCACAAATCGCGGTGTAATCGCGTAACATACATACAAAAAAAATACAGTCGAAATGAGAACCTCCTTCTATTTTTCGAAGTCGGTTAAAAAAGATTTCACAATCTCTAGAATGGCTCCATCGTTTTCGATCAGTAACTTTTAATCTTTGATAGGTGTCAACGTCAAATGTGCGAAATTAAAGGAAAAATATTGGTCAAACTCCCGGAAAAATATGTACTTTTCTGGAAAATATGATTTTTTCAAAATGGAAATTTTTCTATGATCAACACTAGACGTGACGGATTAAACAAGCGTGCTTTCACGACCTTGAAACTTCAAGGTCTTCAACTTCCTTTCAAGTAATTCGGTCTAAATGTAATATGAACTTGCGACTGCCTTAATTAATTTCACTAGATGGTTTTCTGTTGGTAATTGACCAAATTTATGAATGGCGAGACAAATGAAAATGTTACTGCTGACAAAATATGGTGAAATCTTATTAATCGGAAGAGGTTTACTTAATGACGGCCTCGTGTGAAATTTTTGTTATTTGTTTATTATTCCTCGGATTTCTAACTCTACAGAGTAGATACAGATACAGTGTAGATACAGAGTAGCCTCTGCATATTTGGATAGCATCTTAGGTGGGATAAACTGGAACACCTTCGTTCCTGAAAGCATGACCAACTTCAGGTTTTTATAAAGACAGCGCACTGTACATTTTTTGCATTATATATATTTTTGTATTATTCGTACTACATATCCGGCGATGTATGTAATTATTTGCTCACTATATTCGGACATTCGAGGCAACGGGCTGCAAAAATTATCGAAATTACAGATAGGTATTACTGATAATAGATACTACAAAACTGAAAAAAAAAATGTTTTTTATATTTTTTTTATTTTTTAATAGAATATTTTTATAATATTACTAAGGTCATAATAATTTTCGTCCCCTTGTTTTCAAAATCGATCAGAATCGAGAACAGGGGCCTTACTATAAACTCTTATTACAGTTCAGTATAGGTTCGTAACGACAAAAAAGCGGGATGGTGATATACAGGTCATGTCGCGCTGTCTCATTTTAGGTCCTAAACCGAATCATAATAAGAGTTCATAGTAAGACCCCTGTGTTGCCTAACTAACGTATACGGCCATACCACGAAACTGAATGCATTATACAAATGTGCGTTCGTTCGATATTCATGGCGTATTAACAAAGGATTATAAATGTATCGCAGCAAGTAAAAGCCGCAATATATTACAAACATGAGGCACTCGGTTGCATATTTGTTTTCTCGAAATTCATACAAAATAATTGGTTTTAAAGTGTTTTTTTGTGTTATTCATCTTCTGATTACATAATCTCAGTACAGAGTACTAAAAAAACCGACCTCAAAAGTACGTGGAATTACACCTATTTGCTAAGTTTTATTGAAATATCCGTAAATTCGCCACTATACAGGACTTGACATTGGAGATAATAAAAATCGGTTCTCACTACTCAAAGTATATGGAGAGAAAAACGCTTTGGATTGGAGAAATAGCAAAATCAACCATTAAAATAATTGCTCCTAAGTAAAATTTAGGCGCTATTTATAAAAATGAATCTTCATCATTCGTGAACAGCCACCCTTAGAGGTGGATGATTTTCTTCAAAATTAAATGGGACCACTATGGAAGTACCAACAAAAAAATAATCATGAAAATCGGTTGACAAATACCGGAGCTATCGCGTAACATACATACAAAAAAAAAAAGAAAAACATACAGTCGAATTGAGTACCTCCTCCTTTTTTGAAGTCGGTTAAAAATTACAATTATTTTTTGTCTGTATCTGTGTCAATTGGCTGTCTGTACAATTGTTCAAGTCATTGTAAGTTCAAGTCAGCTCCCGTCGGAGGTTCAGTCTGGACTACAATCGTCGTCTTTTGTCAAAAGAAAGGAAAGTGGGTCGTTGTCTTTTGTCCAAAACAAAGCCGGTCTAATTACAAAACTCCTGTCGGTCTAGTGAGTCTGTCTTCGTGGCCTGTAGTTGCTGGTCATCCATGGAGGCTGGACGCTGGTCATCCATGGAGGCTGGACGCGACACACACAATTCCGTCGCACACTCTTCGTGATATATCCTATAGAATACCAATAAGCAGGCAACTTTACGGCGCTGTCCAAGGCTTTGCAGTTTCGCGTCGATCGCCGAGTTAGATTTTCAATGCTTCTTCTTATCGTATCGATGACATACATTATACTATTGTGGCCCAGAACTCAGCCACGCCGACTGCGATTTTCAATTGAATCTAATATAGTCAGTTGGTACATCCACAGGTGAGAGCAGTACTCCAAGCACGATCGGACTTTTGCTTGGCACAAGAAGCGAATTGCCCTTTGCGTCGGTGTCAATCAGTCAATCTGTCAGTTTGGTCAGTTAATCAGTGACAGACTGTTGTCAGCGAAGCTTGTGATATGCGCTGAAGCCTCCGATGATGCACAAATTCACATCACATTCTTCGCATTTGTACGCAGTCCTTGTCGACACATTGTTTTTGGTGCAAGCCCAGCAACGCGTATACTTTGAACCAGTTGGCATCGGAAAGTGATTACTTTCAACGTGCTGCTGTCTTTGCACCAAAGACAAGTGAGTCATTGTCGGTTGTCGAGGTCGTGTCAGTTGAGGTTCGGTCAATAAGTCAATTTGTCGGACAAGTTTTAACAAGGTTTCAGCCAGAATTGTCCTGAAGCTCCGGTGGTTGTGCTTGTGTGTGGCACAATTAATATATATAATAAAGCAAATGAAGAGTGCCAAATTTAATAAATGTTTGAACTCTTTCTTGTACCTCACTCTATTACGGCTTCTTTCCATGGGGTGGGTTGTAAAAACCCTGTTATACTTGTCCTTGTTCCGACCAGGAGGTGATGATATGTGGAGATCATGCTAACTAAGTTAGCGTCCCTCCACAACATCACCGCCAAGTCGACAGTAGCTGGCCACTACTTCACCTTTTCTCATGTCCGATTTTGTCAAAGTCTTGAGTCCGTCAGAGTCGAACTCCCTAGTCAATCTTAAAGTCCCGTAAACGTCTGTTTTATTTTGCTTGAGACACCGCGCTTATATTGGACTATTATAAAAATTGTCCATTATTAGCGTGTGTTCCCGGTGACGAAGTGGCTCTACCAGGTCATAAACGATTTTCGCTGTCGTGTTACTCGGCCGCACATGAGTACATCCGAGACTGTCCTGCTGTCCTTGTCTGTCGTCGACCAGCCTGTCGTCCCGTGTCCTGTTGTCGTCAAGTGGTCTGTCCTGAGTGTCATGAGTCGTTTGAGTCCTGTTCGGTCCATCTTTGCCAGTGTATACCCGGACCGCCCACAAGTATCCTGTAGAAGATTCACAAAGCTCGTAAGTTTTCACGCCTACTCGAGCTGCTTTGGAAGAAATTTTCTACACGAAGCTTAATCGGTCATGCCATTTAAGGAGGCTTTCGTCCATAGCGATTTCTTTTCCAGGGGTATAGGTATAGACTGCAATTTTTTTGTTGAAATTGTCGATTATGGGTCTGATCTTGTTTATTTTAGTCCTGTTAGTCGTTGCGTCATTGTCGGTGAAATGGAGAAACATTTTTAGCTGAAAAAAATCTATTATAAGACATTATACGCCCAAAGTAAGGAGTTGTCCCATACCCATCAAAGGAGAAATAAAAACGCCACCATTTCATTTCGATCAGTTCTATGTTGTTTCGTCGTCGGGTCCTGACTTAACTTTGTAATTGTCTGGTCTGGTAGCGATTAGTCTCGGTCACTAAAACGTCCATAAATTCATCGTCGAACATTTTGTTAAAAATGTCTACGGAGGTCGTGTCACTAGTAACCGGGAAAGTTGGTCCAGGCGTACCAGTAAAACTTTCCCGTTTACTAATGAACGCCTGTCTGCCATTAGTCCAGTTAAAGTCAAAGCAAGTATCGGCAGCTACTTCTCGCACCGAAAGATCGTCAGCCTGTTCTGCCATCCGCAATATAGTTTCATGTCTGAGTCCGCGGGGTTGTCGGACGCCACACGAGAAGTATTTGCCGGTATTGGGACTAAGTTCATGTCGTCAATGTCTATGAAGTCCTCGTCGATATCTTTCAAGTCCTCGTCAATGTCGCTGTCATTGTCGTGCAAAACGTCGTCTAGCCAATTCGCAATTGTTGAGTTGAATTTCTCGTCGTAGACACCTGAAACAAAAAACAGCATGTATAAGAAATTTAACTTTGCTCCGAAAATTTACCTCTTATTTATTATATATTATACGGTGTTTTTTAATGGGGCAGCACGCCGAAATCCGAAACCATAGAAGATTCAAGGAAACTGTCTCAGGAACCATTAAGTCTTTTTTTTGTAAAAACAATTTTGGCATAGTCAATTTTTTGGTCAAACGTGTGGTATCCATTGATAACAAATAAATAAATATTTTTGAAATTAAATCAACATCTGTTGTCCCAATTTTTTCGTCCCATACAACCCCATACAACGAAACGATTCCTTCATGAAACTGTGTCGATTAACACTAAAAAAATTTGATCAATTTTATTCATTTTTATATCCAACTCACGCTTGACTAAAAATGTATAGTACCAAAATTGTTTTCACAAAAAAAGAGTTAATGGTTTCTAAGATATATCGAGTTTTTAGGTTTTCACGATTGTTACACATAGGAAATGAAACTATTTTTCCGGATTTAAATCACGTATATTTGTTTTTTCAAACAAAACGACGTTTCGGGCCCTTTATTTTTCACGGTCAACCATGGGCCCGAAACGTCGGTTTGTCTATCAGAAGAGATAGATCAGATCTGATAGAGAAGAGAAAAGCTCCAAAGGTTCGTAGAAATGTCCGTTAATTATAAGTAAATACCTGTTATATTGAGAAATACTAGCACAAATTTGCAGTTGATTGCCGTGTACCGCACTAGAGTAAATAGAAAAAAAGTTTTTTTGAGGATGGAAAAAAAATAGCGTCAACAACGTCGTTGGCAACCATAGTTTCCAATACCAGTTGAGTGGCATGTTCATTCTGTAGATAATGCAGCTCCGTTCCTTTCTTTTTTCCATCCTCTAAGACACTAATGCAATGTGCTCTATCATATTATAATATAATATATGCTCCGGCCATAGATTTAGTATATGACTGTTCTGCCTCGTAAAACGTAACATTTAAAAACTCTTTGCTCATTTATAATCTATGTGTTGGGTGAAATCTATGGTTGGGCGTGATAAAAAAACAGTCAAAGGTGTTCGTTTGTTCTTTCGCTTTGAAATTTTACGTTCTCCGCGAATAATTTCAATTATTATCAACATGTTCCTCATTTCTAGAGTAAGCTATTGTTGTTTATATTATTATATTATATAATAATGGCATTAAAAAAACCTAACTCAGTTTAGCCGATACTGCAAAATGTTGTCCGTAACGATATTACATACAGTTTTTGCAATATTATCATTTACCGAGTAGCTTTCAGCTTCAATTTGCGTTTTTCTTTCTTGTCGCAGAATATAGCAAAGTTAGTGTTACGCAATGGCCGCGCTATATCTACAACTTCTTCATTGCGTGATCCAAGAAGCCTTGTAAAACTGAAAACACTGCAATCTGCCTACCAAGTAACTTAAATTTATTAACAAAAGTTATTTTTCAAACCAAGTACCTACCTACACGATAAATTGCTTTGAAAGTATTCACACCTTATAGTTTCAGCTAAATACAGCCAAAAGACCTACCAGATTTTCCCATACACATCGCACCCCAATGACTTTTTGAAGTATAATATCATCCATTTTGTCTCTAAGGGAATCAACAAACTTATTATAATAATAATATTGCGATGTATAGGCGACTGCATCGATTCAAATACAAACACGTGATTGCATCGATACAAACGCATGATTGCTTCGATACAAACGCGTGATTGCATCGATACAAATGCCTGATTGCATCGATACAAATGCCTGATTGCATCGATTTAAACGCGCTACTGCATCAATACAAACGCGCGATTGCATCGATACAAACGATTTATTCGCATTTTTAAGATTTATAGACGCGTGATTGCATCGATGCCAACGCATGATTGCTTCGATACAAATGCGCGACTACATCGATACAAAAGCATGATTGCTTCGATTCAAACGTGCGACTACATCGATACAAACGATTTATTCGCATTTTATATCCTTTCTCATTTTTAATATTTTTAGACGCGTGATTGCATTGATACAAACGCGCGACTGCATCATTTTAAACGAAAAGTCTGTATAGTTATGCACATTGTTTTGTTAATTTAAAAGTGAAATTAATAAATACAGCAAACAAATAATTAGTTAATTAATTTAAAACGTGTATCGCAATTTGCATCGCTGCTTAAAATTGCCGTGTGTAATCGCTCTAAAACCAGACTAGAACTCGCGCCTTACACTCGCGATTTACATTTAGTATGCCAGTACAAACGGCGTGGCGCGGACAGTGGCGGATTTGCCCTAAGGCCCGGTAGGCCCGGGCCTAGGGCGGCCAGATTTCAGGGGCGGCCAATCGTGACAAAAAATTCACTGATGATGACAAGAAATAATTCAAAGTAGGTAACTAAATATTGTGTACCTAAGTATTGACTACATGGCCTGGGGCCAAGGAAGGCCAAGACTGCAAATCCGCCACTGGGCGTGAAGCAACTCGTGATGTCACTTTCCTACAAGTCGATGTGATATTGGGCCCTTAATATAACATGATTGTTTATTTTTCAGGTGGAGGATGGGGTGCCCATTTATTTAAAAAGTGGTTTTCTTGATCGATTGCTATATTCTACAACTATAGTACTAACAGTTGTCGGTTTGGTAAATACTTTGATTACAATTTATAACCACGCGCGACCCAATTCTTGGAAGACGGAAGCATGTTAATGGACCGACTATAGCACCCCATTGAACATACTTTAGCTTACACAACAAGGAATGCCTATATTAGATGATATTATGTCATTTGAAATGTTGGACGTAAAAATCGGTATAACGTCGCCGTCGTCGGTTGACATATCGAATTCATTTTTCGTGAGATAATAAATTTATAGTGTGTGTAGATAAATGTATTTCATTTCTGCTTATCCCTACCCAACCGTTTCTACTAATAAATACAGTCGTGAATAAAACTATGGCAATGAAAAGTATAAGCATTTATTTAAAAACATGGTATTTATTACCTGCTAAGGGCGGGTTACAAACTGTTCCACGTGGAACTGAGTACATGGAACTACTCGGGAATTAACAGGGCAGACTCGTCGACGAAGACCGTACAACAACAGTACAATCCGAATGGAAGCGTTGACGGGTCTATATCATCAGCTTACACGCATCCACTGTTGTAATCACTGGACGTAAGCCTCTCCTTAAGCACGCTAACTCTCCCGGTCTTGTGGCGTCCACATCCAGCCGCTGCTGGCCACCTTGCTCAGCTCGTCCGTCCATCGTACTACTACGTTTTCCGTTCCAGAACAAGTCTGCTCCATAGCAGTTGCAGTGCCATTCAGAGCTTTGAATCGTAAAGACCCGCGGGGCACTGCCACTGCGGCCGTCACCGTGAGACGTAAGTTGACAAGTCCCATGTGCATGTAATTGCATCAGCACCCTCGTCCTTGAAAACCGGAACGCAGTAATGCTCGCATTACTGCTTGGCGACTGAAATAGGTAGGGTTTCGACCTCAACCATTAGCTCGCAAGCGGGCAACACTTTCGAGCAATTTTACTACATCTTCAAACAAGACGCGACTTATACATAAAAATGTATTGGGATTGTTGTAAATAAAACGTAATTTATTCAAAATACTCATTTATTAGGTTTGGTTTCGACGTTACGAGATATCACGGCAGCCATCGCACTTGGCTCTTACGCTATATGTACACACCCATGCCCATACCCGCGGTATATAAAACAGTATGTATATACATAGGTACTGAATATAATTACATTGTTTCTGGATTTATTAAGGGTGCTCTACATCCGGATTACCTATCAGAAGTCCGAAATGACATTTTCCAGAAATGTTTGCTCGAAATTTCATAACCTCGAAAGTAATTTTGAGAGGAAAATGTTTTTTCTTTTAAACCTAACTTAACCGAACCTATCGTGTCTGCGATAAACATTCAACATATCCTGAAATACTAACGGTTTCGTTATAATTCGGTTTTCGGGGTAATGGAAATTCGAACAAGTTATTTCGGAAAAAATAAATTTGGATTTGTGGTAGGTTACCCTACATCCGCTTGCGGGCTGCAAACGAAGCCATGTAACAAAAAAAATGCTAAGTTCCACCAAACGATGCGAAACTCAGTTGGGTGGGCAGAGACCAGGGGCCTCCACTCATAAGTCAGATAAGCTCATTAGTAGGGAAATATATTTATATGCCATTAAATAAAAAAAAAAAAAAAGACGACTCATGTCCAGTAGTGGGTTACATAAGGAATGATACAGTACTTTGCAGCAGTGCCGAGCATTTATTGAAATTTTATTAAATAAAATTACAAGTTCATTTATAACTAATGGTCTAATCTGAAGGTCTCTGGGCCCTATTGCTTATGTTCTGGCACAATTTATTTAAAATGAAATGTGTCTGTCTACGTGTTACGCGCACGCAATTACGCTGGATCATGACGAAGCATTTTGTCATTTGTACTGACGCAAAGACAAAAAAACTTGAAAAATTCCTTCCGACTGGAGTCAAACCAGTCTATGTTGCCTCACCGTGGCTACTGATCTTACCGCGCTCACTCCTTTGAAGAGCAGAATACTAGAAAATGGCAATGGCAGTTGAATGGTTAGGTAGCCACTGACAAGTAGAGGTGGGTGATAAACATAGGTCGGAAAAAGGTGTTTTTAAATATATAAATCAATAAATTCAAAAATACAGTACAACAGGTCGCCTGTGGCGTCTGGTACTGAGTTTATATTAAGAATTGCTACCTATGATATATTCTGAGAAATTTAAAAAAAAATTTGACCGGCCATTCTGACGTCAGGATGGCTGGTCGCCTCTTTGTTCAGTATATGCATGCAGCAAAAGGAATACTAGGGCGACGTAGCAGTCAGTAAAACAGTAATTTATAATTTTATTGTTGATACCTATCAGTGGGAACGACAGCAACCGTTAAGTAAACGTATAAAGTTAAATCATGGACCTGAGACTGTATTTAGAATAAAACATCGCTTGCCTAAGCATCAGTGCGCGTATCTTTTGCGCGAAAATATTTGGGAGGTTCATCCCATTGCACACAGTTGGATATTTAAACAGCACTCTATTTCTATAAAATAATGTGCAATGGAATTTGCAAAGAATGTGAGGCTAACACAAAATCTATAATTAACTGGCCTTCGAATAAAATAGCCCTATGTAAGTGCACTGTAACGAACTACGATAAAGAATTTGTTCCTACTTTTGCTAAAAAATTAAAACTATATAATTTTTTAACAAATATATAATTACAACTAAGTTCTTTGTTAATATTGCGTTATGATGGTTACCTACCCTCTCGGTTTTATACATTAGCAATCTCACCGGACTAGTTCACCTCGAAGTAATTGTTGAACGCCTGCCCTTTATATTATGGCAATAAAGCACTAAAAACTTTTGCTTTTTTAGTTTAGTCAGGCACTTTTCGCAAAATTTTCAATCGGTTATATTTTTTTAATCAATGTAGATATGAAGCGTACACCTTTAATTCGTGAACGTAGCAAATAGCAATTATTGGTAATACATACTTCTGGAAAATCTGCTACCTTCATGCTGAACAAAGAGGCGACCAGCCATCCTGATGTCAGAATGGCTGGTCAAAATTTGTTTTCAATTTCTCAGAATATATACAGTACATGTACAGTAGTAGGTAGCAATTATTCAGAAAAGGTAGCAAATAGGCAGCAATTCTTGAATATATACTCTGCCAGGCGACCAGCCACCCTGACGGCCTCAATTCGAACCACTAGCAGAAATGTCGTATTTTAAAAGGAAAATGTTCACACTGGATTATTTTCATACTTAAAAAAAAACTGCTCAACACTTAAACACAACGAAAAGTGCCATTTTTGACAGCCTACTCACGTACGGACTTTCTTTCATCCGGAAATCCGGAATTCGAAAAAACTAATTAAGTAATATTTGGTGGTTTTAACAACTCTTTGTCGCTCCTTGTAGCTCTGTCTATTCGCGTATCTATATATGTGGAACACCTTTTGAACACCAACATGACGGTCTTATTAACGAATAATGCGACAAGCCTGTCAAATTGTGAAGGCTATTGCGGATCGATTTCTCAAATTAAAATAAACGTTACTTCAAAGTGAGTAATCATAACGACTATCAGAAAGTAGCCGCTTGCCAAAACCGTTTATCGTGATGTAAGTGACTTTTTTGTAACTGGGACAATAGCCACGGTGATAGAAATGTAATTCTTTGCCTCATATCAATGACAAGCAACTTCTCTTAACTTTTAGCAGAATGCCAGGTGTGCAAAATGCAGCCATTGACACTCTATCGTCAAGAGATGAAACGGAACGGAACAATATCCAGCCGGATATAGGATGTTCAAAACTGACAAAAATCCATTATCACTACGCCAAATACATTGATTCATTGATTAAAGAGGATAGTAATGGGATAAACAGCAACTACAGGATCGTTGACAAACCGTTTATTACTTGTAACTGAAAGCACTATGAAATTAGATAACGCTATATTATGTAAATTTAGTACTCAAATTTCAATAAAGGCAAAATTTTTTGTTTTTCAAAGTTTTTCTGCATTTAGTGGTGAAAGTTGATTCTATTTATTTTCATAAACGAGACCAGCTTCAGGGGACAGTTTTTTAACTTGTTATTGCCAAACGACAATCGATTTAAACTGTCTTCAAATGATTTACCTACAATGTTTTACCTACAATAATGAAACGTATAAGTTTTTTTTTTCAATGTGAAAGTGCAATCATTCATTAATCAATCACGGCGATGCGCGCTGTAAACTGTTTACGGCAGTGAGTCAGATATCCGGCTATCACTCTCCGTTTCATCTCTATTAGCGGCACACAAGTGAGATGATTTAAAATTAGCACACTCGGGCCGAACAGGCGGCTGTTGCCTTACCTTTCTTATAATACTATAAGTTTGGTTCTTTGAAACTCTATACATACATGCATTTATTCTCATCGAGATCACGACTTAAAAAACATCAATTGTACAACATTCATGCTTTATGTACGTTTGTTTATACAAAGTGATGATCAACAAACCTAACTGGCGCTGGCGGCTTTGTCCGTTATTTAAATTGTCCAATAGTTTTTAACATAGAATACGTACTTGCACATAAATATACAATAAGACGACTGTTTCACTCTTGAGTTGTTAGAGACACAGTGGACATACGTTACCATGAGCAAAATTCAACATTATTCTTAGTTTTATTCTAAACATCACATTTGGGTCTAAAAATAGATCTAGACAATTCAAATTAACAGGTACTTCACTTAAAATTAAAATTATCTAAATAAAATTAAAAAATCATTCTTAACCATTACTTTAAAATAATCGAAATGGGTACTGGGGCCGATTCTTTGCTTAAACTAAATTTAGTGCGACATCGTTCACAAATAAGTACAATACAATGTAAAAGCCAGATTTGAAATAATTTATCTAAATTCCAGACAAATAATTAAAATAACAATTGACACATTGGTTATTTACTCTTAGCATTTACAAGGAAATTATTGATATTTACACTCGTATTGTAATTTCTTTAAACTAAAAAAAATTACTACTAGACAACACAATATTGAAATATACGGGCCTACCGCTTAATCGAGTCGATTCCTAAGGTGCGTGCGCGGTGCGGGAGGAGTGGCAGTTATGTCACGCGGCACAAGGGATAATTTAAAAAAAATAATTCTGACGACATTCAATACCAAGTTGATTGTTTTTTTTTATTATCATATGAAATATCAACAATTGGCTAATTCAGTAGGCCCTTTTCCAATCAATTCGTTATCGAATATCGTCAGAAAAATCTTGTTGAAATTAACCCGTACGAATCGAGACTTAACTGCTACATAATCTGTC